TGGCAAGATATGACCTACGTAGGTGATGCTTTTGATAGACACTCCTTGGTACCGTCTCCCAGTCGTTTTCGGCGAACATCTACAAGTAGATCATGATGGTTAAACAGGTCTGTGCCTATGGTAGACATTGTGACGTCAGCAAGAAGGAGAATCCACTGAATAGGTTTGCGCAAACCTGCGTTCAGATAGACGTATTTCCTACCAAAGGTTGCGATAGGTTTTCCATTCGCAGCCTGTAAGCTGGAAGTAGTTTCCCTCTGTCTAGTATTAGTCTCCCCCTGTATCAGGAAGGACTCTGACTTCGGCACCTGTGCCAACCAGGTAAAGGGTTTTGCTCACTAGATTGTAAATGCATAGTAACCAGCTTCTGCCGCCGGCAACGGTTGTCGCTAACGCTTGCCGGCAGGAGAATTTCCCATAGTCTTCGAGTTATTGCTACAATAACAGGGTTGTCGGCAAAATTTTGCTTCCTGGCCAAAGGTATTGCGATACCAACACCAGTTAAGGATTTTGGTGAGTGTGGTTTGGACTTTGATCGACCACATGGGTTTCGCTGTTGAGGAGAATTCGGTTGATGGTAGGAGGAAATGCGGGGACTGTTTGACCTAAGTGATCGCTTAACGGAGTTGCATAACTCTGCCAATTCAGTGTCCCCACTCGAAGACTGTCTAGTGTCCGAGCACATTTCCGTGACTGGCCGTTGCGCTATTTCTAGAATTTTATCTGCAGAAGTAGCTAAGTCATCTATGAAATCACTTTGGAGTGTCACAGGCACAGTCTGTACTGACTGTGGCAATTTGGATAAGAACAGCTCTCTGAAAAGTCCTTCATAGAACTAACGTTGGCTGATAACTTCCCTCATTCTCGTTACCATGTTCACAGCCTATTGATCGCCTAACTCGACATTGCTAAGTAGGTCGTCAAGACGCTACTGATCCATGAGATCGTTTCTCCAAAGGATGGCTGTTTTAAGCATCTCATAGGGGTTGCTACGTTTGGGCTAGGCATTTGCACAGAAACTCATTTGCTTAATTCCCGCCGTAGAGCGTGGAACTGTGAACGTCGGTCAGTGATTCCATTTTCGCTGAAATCAGACTCGACTATCTGAAACAATGCCTCCACATTGTCTGGCCAAGATGGCACGAGGTGAATAGTGTTGCTAGTGGGTCGGATACGGATTACCTTATGCGTGTGGTCACTCATAGAGAAAAATATATTTCCAAAATACGAAATATAATACAAGACCAAATTCAAAATGAATGAACTCACCGGATTTGTCTGCGTGTTTGCCGAAGATGAAGTTTGTGACAGAGCTCACCGTTTACAGACTGAGGGTGTTGACGTTAACGGATAGTACGGTGTGTAACAGCGTAAGATCTAATGCCCACAACTTCTATAGTATTCGTTCCGCGTAGACCAAAGACAAAGCAAAACACTAAGCTGATCGTCCAAATTATGAAGTATATTTCGGGACCAAATCGTAGTGTAAGGTTGACTGCTTAACTAACTAGGGATTGTGTATGGAAGAACGTAACACCACGGCGTGCCAAATATCGTGGATGATTGACCATGAGCCTTCAACTGAATAAGTTGACTTTAAACTGAGGGTTAGCATCCAATGTTCAGTGACGAATGCAGTGGTTAATAATTTTGGAGAATAACCTACTGCTACAATCCTAAGCACAATAATGTCACCCCTTTACTTCCCTGCATTACTGTATAACCACTTGATAATTCTTACACACAACAATGTACTTGCATAGTTAGCAGTGATGGAAAATCTGCTGCAATATGCGAGGCTGCTATTTTCAGTGACTTCTGTTGGACTGAGAGCAACCTCTAGTTGCAGGGTCTGCCTTTTGATAATGCAACAAGCATTTTGGGAGGATTTAAGAGGGTTTAAAATATTAGGTCGAATATTTGAAGTCGGCATCTTATTTGATGTGGTGATGGTGAGCCTGGTTAATGTGCTTAATTCCATTGTACCATCCTTACGACGTCGTAAGTGCTCTTGCCTATTGCTACACTTGCGCCTAAGGAGTATGCGGATGCTATTGATAATTAAACTGAATGGAATCGTTTGATGACTTACACCTAACTCCAGATTTCCTTTCTGATGCATGTGTGTGAATAAATGCTAAAAAGAATAGAGGCGATAAGTAGTGAGTGAATAATAAGCTTATTAAACTGCAAGTTCCTGGCCTGACTTTCACCTGTGCAATTATTTCTTTTCACAGAATTTCAACAACTAGTATATATATAAACAGTATGTTTATTTAATCTATGTACCTTGACCTTATTACTGGGATTGTTTTTATTATTCTCACTTTGAACGGTTTCCGGTATTCTTTCACTTATCCCATTTATTTTAAATGAATAAATTCTTTGCAATGTTAAATTCTATCTTATCAAACTTTTCATATTACGTGATGTTTTAGTTGCCGACTAATCCTATAATTTAACATCCCTTTCCAATACATACACTTTATGAACTATTAGATGCATGATGTTCTGGAATAATCATCATTAACATTATTGGTGTTTTTAAATAATATCGATTTTATAAGATCAATGGAATTACAGTTGAAGAAAGATGCGAAAAGAATATTCTTTGCTTGATATTTCTCTTTTCTTCTATGTGTCTGAATACTAATTTTTGCAATATATTCTGTATGTAACATTATTTGTTTTACCATTTGATATTTAACTGTGATTATAATCATAAACATTTTAATCGCATTTCATATTATTATTATTTTGAGTATTTACACTTTTGTTTAAATTTTCCCACGGGATATAATTTCTTGAAAACTATATGTGTATATATACAGTGTTACAATGAGAATTATTAAATTATATGTAATTAAAGATTTAAATTGAAACACTATTAACTTACAGTTGCAACCAAAATTAGTTCCATTCCATTCTATGTCGAATATAAAGACAAACAATATATAATTCAGAACAAGAATAATTTGAGTGAATAGTTGTCTTCAATAGCTTTTTCCGCAGGCTGTATAGTTGTAAATCAAAATTTGTTTGAACCCAATAACCAGTAAAGGCAAATGAGAATTATATCGGAAACTGTATACTGGGGTGCAGGTACACAAAGAAATAATAGTTGGTGATTTTGATTACCATTCAAATCCATTTAAAATGTACAGTTATTAAGAAGACAAAATGAGTTTAACAATTGAGTGATCTGCCGGTGCGTTTATAATCAGCAAAAGGTTTCAGGGGGTGAGTTATATTTACTAGTGTGACAGGAATTATGAACACTACAGACATATGAACGAAAAAACGGGGTACGCTGAATGTAAGTTAGGAGAATTAAAAATGTCAGACGTAATGGTAAAATATGGTGGTCACAGTAAACCGTAGTCAGATAGTGAAGACAGGATTACCTTAGAGGAGATCCAGAGGGCGACATAATAATAGTGGTAACCGTGATAGTGGTGTGAAGTAAACTAGGTGAAGAGGAGTAGGGAAGATACAATAAGACATGAAAATAAGTGATGATTATTTTTATTTTCTCCTCAAATTATTTGCTTGATAATAATCGCACGAGCCTGTATGGCCATGGTGATCATGGGTATAGAGACAACACACAAGAGGAGAGAGATGTATTCATTAGTATGCCAACTAGTAAGTAATAATAATTTCATTATTCTGGCCAAAAGTAGTTGGTATGATTTTAAAAAAAGACAAAATCAATTAATGGACTAAGTATCGATCTCCATATAAATGGCGTCCCTCACAACCTTATGGTAGTCTGGGGTGAACATTGAGGATGGGCATATTTTCTGCACGCATAGTTTAGGTTTGTCCTTTCTAACCCCTCTAGCTTCAACCATTCTAAGGAAACTGAACTGCATACCTTCAAGCAAACTGTTTAGCATAGGTAGGACTGAATTCTTAGGTTTGCATGGAGTACCTGAATGAGTTTTCAATAAGTTAGTGAAATATATCTATTCCAAAACGTCATAACTGACCGACTACTTTTTGATATATGGAAACATTACCCTTTTATCAAGTGCAATTTATTTGATTGCAAAGCTAACTGTACAATGAGAGATGTAGTGTACTTTAATTAAAACTGTTCTTCACTCTGGGAAAGTGAAGAAAAAAATATAGTGAAATCAAACCAGAGTGAATGTATTGCACAAACCTTCTTGTGCTCTTTATCCAAAGAGAAAAGCAACGTTTTTATGTCCAGTTGTCGAACTGAGCAAATTGGTCTATACTTTCCGATTTCAACAGGAGTAAATGATGAGCAGACACGCTTTCAGCTGGCTGAAATATTTACACTGATAGCGAGTGAAGCATTCATTACAGTTTGTATTGTGTATTAAAATACAAGTGGAATTTATGATTTATTCTCATTATGTGTGAATCATGTGGGTGTTATCACTCATCATCACTCAAAGGATGGATTCTAGATTCAAGTTTCAGCCTGAGCGTGACCACTATCTGAGATGTTGAAGTATCAGAATAATGAATTTCAAACTGAAAGAAAACAGATGCGGATGCTGAATTCTGTTACCATTCGAGTGATATATATATCATTAAGTAATTGGGAGGACAGTTAGGAATTTGAACTCTAAGGCTAGATGAACCCATATCTCTGTAATCTGAAAAAAAACTCCACTATATGCATATAGATGTAACAGTCATACTGTAAATGAATAAGTATCAGTTTCTTTATTCGGATAACCTACTGTTTTAGGTTTTAAAGTCGGTAATAGGACTCAAGCATTTTCTAGACACCAGATTCTAAATGTGACTGCTGAATGTAGAATGCATTCAACGCCACATTTATCTAAGGACTCTTTCACACCGTTTCTCCTACCATATATATATATATATATATATATATATATATATACATATATAGCATGTTCGAGGATGCAATAATCAAAATACAGTAATAATTTTCAACCATATATAACCTCACATAATAAATCAAAAGCTGTGTTTAAATCAATTGATATTTAGGATTAATCAAACATAACACGCATACATACACATTCTGAATTCTTATAACAGAGAATTTATAAAAATATGCAAAACTGAACTTAGGTGGGAAAGAAGTGAAAATTTAAAATTATATTATGGAATAGATAAGATCTTGTAAATTAAAAAAATATGTAGATGTTGTGCGCTATAGTTTACAGTTTGTTCTTCTTATGTTTATAAAATATTCTATGGGTAATACAATCGACTTTTAAAATGCCTAGTGTTTTCATATACTAAGTAGATATTTTCTTGTGAACTGGTTGATAATGATGATAATTACTTATGAATGTATCAGTCTGTCGTATTTTTGGACATTAGATTCATAAATTTACCTAAAGCGCTTTCATTATTGTTATTACCACCACCACCACCACAAATATTATTATTATTATTATGACTGTTACCACTGGTCGTGTTACTACCATCATTAATATTTGCGGAGTTATTAGGCAATGTCTTGTGTGTTATTGTTTTAGTTCTATTAGACAACTGAGTATATGTGAGTTCAGTGTTGTTAAAATATTGATCATGACTGCTTATATTATTGTTAGCATATCTATGTGGTCTACTTAATTGTGTAAAATCATCTAGTTCTCTTCCTCCGGTACATGTCATAAATTCATGAGGCCATTTAAAATCACTTGAATAGGTTGTTTTATTTGACATTTTGATTTTTGGTGGAATATAATAGTCTTGTGGTCGAAATTGATTTGAACTTGCTGCTTGCTGAATTGGCGGTAGCTTTGAGTATTCTTGTTGATAAGTTGTCTTTAAATAATGGTTATCGATTTTATCTTCATAATGCATATATAGATTGTTTTTGGGCATTGTACGATGAGAGCTGTGCACGTTTATTTTTGGCAAACTATCCCCTGAGCTATTTGGTTTAGTGTGGAACATTTGACTCTGTTGAACATGTTCTTTTCTACTCTTAGATGGGTTTGGATCTGATTGATAAGGATTCGCATAGTCAATTGAATAACTTGTTTTTAAATTATGGTCTAGTAACTTATTGATTTTTGTGTTATCTTGCTTCAAGATAGGCCGAAGCTTAGTGGGATTATGTATAGGCTTAAAATCATGAGTGTAAGAAGTTGTCGTATCCATCTTAGTAGTAGGGTGAATGTATGAGTATCGTGTATGAGGAGGACAACTTTGGTTATGTTTATGCTTCCTAGGAGGTGGAGGAAATTCAATCTGATAACTGGTCTTCCCAGAAAATGGTATCTTTGGATGTGTGTACTGATAGGTAGGCTTTAGATTCTCCGGCTTTTTAGCCTTACGATACTGAAATTCTTCTGAATATGAGGTGTTCTTCTCCATAGGTAATTTAGAGGTTTTTAAATTTGGTATAGGCAAAACAGGTTCTCTTTTCTTTGCACACCTAGGTACATAGTCTTCTGTATAAGAAGAGTGAGTAACAATTGGCAGACTTGGTGACTTGTAGATTTCTATAGGTTTATATGACATTGAAGGTTGTGGTGTGAGTGGACGAAAGTCGGTGAGATAAGAGGTTTGGGTAGATAGGGCTTCATCACTACGCCACTTGTTTTCCTTAGGTTTGATAGCTTGTACCCTTTGTGAGTATCTTGGTTGAAACTCTTGCATGTAGCTGGTTGTCATGTCACTCTTTCCTTGAGGTAGGCAGAGATTATCTTTTGGATAGTATGGGTAGCCTTTTTCAGTACGCCACTGCCTGTAGTCTGAACGGTAAGCGGTAGTGTCTTCTATCTTCGTTTTGGGCTTTCGATATTCGAATACAGGTTTGAAACTTTCAGTTTTTGGAGCTGTATATGGCTGAAATTCTTCAGAATAACTTGTGTTCTTATGAAATGGTTGTTCGGGTTGATGGTAAACATAATTTGGAGCATACGAATTTGGTTTCGATAGAGGGTGAGGAGTGTATTCCATTTGATAGGATGTCTTGTCAGACATAGGCTCTTTGGGTGCCTGATATTCTCTGTAGGGTCTGAAACAATGTACGGGTTCACACCTTTTAGTCTGATAGTCTTTAATATAAGTGGTTTCACTCTGAAATCTACCAGTCGGAAATGTTTCATTGTCTTTCATTCTAAAAGGAATTTCTCTCGGTGATGGTGGAGGATTTTGATATTCCGTTTGATAACTTGTCTTATTTAACATCGGTACTAGGGGCGGTACATAAATTTCAATAGGTTTGTAGCTCCTCCCAGTTTGTGGGCAACGTGGTGGATAATCTATACGGTAACTAGTCTGTGTATCCATTGGCTCTTGTGGAGGTGAATAAAACTCATCAGGTTTATAATTTATTGTTGGTTCTAGTTCGTAGGGCTGATAATTGCTCTCGTAGGTGGAATTCAATAACATTTGATCATTAGGTAATTCCATCTGTGAACGAGGCATAATTAGGTCTTCCTCATCAAAGTGTTCATACGACTTATATTCATCACTGTAGCGTGTATGAAGGGCTTCAGTTTCTCCTGAATTTGTATAGGCATAGTAATCGTCATTTCTGTTTAGAGAACTATAATCAGCTGTCAGTGGGTCGTTGATGAAATCATTTTGAGGAGTTATATTTCCAGGATTTTGGTACAAATCATGCTCGTCTCTCACAGAAGGATAATACTTAGATTCATAATCGCCATTAGGTGGGTCCAAATCCCATGATTTTATCGGTTCATTATCTGAAACGCGACTCCTGCCGGTTTCTTTAAAGTGTTTATAAGCATATCCACTGTCATTGATTGTAGGACTTGTGCTTATGTTACTAGACATGGAAAACTGTTTTGGTCAAAATCGATAAAGTAGCCAGACGATTTCTAAAATAAATCAACAAGAAATGAAAATTCTGTGACAATTAATATAAGTTAATGCCTGTAAACATTAGCAGGTGTTTGAAAGATTCACAAAAGATGAAAAACTGAGATAAAAATGATCAGAAATCACAAGCTGAAAAGTCCAACTTGATATTCACTGCAGTGATTATTAGTATATGCTGGATAGACTTTATACCTTTATAAAAAATGTTTTCCCGAAAACAAAAAGCAAGAGAGTCAAATTCATCATTTTTCCAAAAACTCTGGATTATTTTGTTCATACTGTGAAGGCATAATACACACCCTCAATGGATGAATTCAGTTCGCAATTTTAAAGCGGTCTGTTCCTAAGTTAACTGTATAAACTGATTCAACAAAATATCACCTAACAAGACAACAGAGAAACTTCTATGAACGAGGTGACTTGGTCCAGTCATCCAATTAGAGCATGAAACAATCGAAAATCAGTTTGTAAAGCCTGAACAGTTCCTCTAGTTAAACCACAGATTCACTTACCTGAATTATATCTACCAGAATGCGTCATCAGCTGAAAATTTCTTGTCAAGGGTATGGAAGAATTTTTCCTTAAAGGAGCCACTAGTCAGTAACTAACATATCCTTTGGTTAGATAACAGTAGCACACACAGGCCTCGATATTGCCTCAACTGCTGACGTGATGTTTTATTCAAGTATGAGGAGGCTGCTGTTGCGTTTGATATGAAAAGTGTTGATTAAGAAAATACTATGCACTGGGTACAATTAGTTGATAATTTTCAATTCAGACAAGTTATTTGTAATAATATGATAATAATACTAATAATAATAAAGCTTTATTTCGGACATTACGTGAACATATAGTACAGAAATTTTCAGCGTATTTAGTTTCAAAATATTTCCTCTTCATACAGGATTTACATGTCATAGTGTTATTGCACATGAAGCGAGAACCAATCGAGTACATTTTTTCTTCATTTTCGTGGAGAATTTCACAGCGATTTGTTGAAAGTCAATTCAATATGTGTGCAACTTTATGAAGTGATCATTTGATATGATTGGATAATTAATGTAGAAGAAGAGTTTTGGCATTTTGATGGATGTAAATTTTCGTTGCCCAGTGATTTAAGCAGCCTGCCTTAATAGATGGATTCCAGTACTATCCACCATCAAACAAAGCACATTCTTTTCGATACTTTTCTCTTAAGATTTCATAAGTACTTAAGGAGTGTTATCAGAGTATAATAATGAGTGTATGGCTACACCAGGTAACTACTGCTTTTTATTTAAATCTGGTCTTCATGAACACTTAACATATGACGATTGTTACACACCTATACTCTTCGACAAAAGAATATTCAGTATTTTAAAAGTCTTTTTATGTCAGCGTGTTTATTCTCTCCTACCTCTGTGTCTTTCATGTGCCCAGTGCGGATTGCACATAATGTTTTAGCACAAGGTGGACAGTAGCATTCTTCTCATTTAGATTCCTTAAATGCATCGAAAATATGGAAAATGGCTTAGTGCAATTACTAATCAATTTCAAATAAATGATTTACTGTCAGTGACACTTTGAAATAATCACCATTAACCAGAAAAGTTCAATGACGCTTTCTACAGACGTCTGAGCATAACAAAAAAAGGACATTTTGGAGGGGGTAGATATAGTATGTGTGCTGTGCTGTGAGTAAATTGAGTTTTTGGAAAATAGTAAACATTTCAAGTGGATTTATTGAGGCAGCTTTCATTTATACTCTTTTTAATGAACAAATATAATGCCCAATATGAATTGAACTTTAGGCCTTAAAACTGTAGTTAAAATGAAAAAATTCTTCTGCATATTGTAACTAGTACAACAATTGTTAATACTGTTCCAAGAGTTCCATTTACATCTCTGCTTTTTTAAAAATAAAAACTTAGTGACCTTTAGATTTAAGTTAACACTGATAAAACAAAATGAAACTGGTTTTCTCTGTCTACTGATTTTAAAATGATAGCAGATAGTTTAATTTTTTTTAAAACAGAGTAAGCAAAGAAATTTCGTATTAAAAGAGACTTTTATAAACTGTATTGATGCATTAATAGTTATCAATTGAATAATGCTCAGGTCGAATATGAAAGGATAAAACAGAAGTTGAGTTTGTTCGAGAAAATTTGGTTAAACCCTGTAGTTAGGTACACTGTTTCAGGTGTTTTCTCTCTACCTAGTGAAAAGTTACTGTTAATATATGTGTAAAACTTGGGCACTGTGGTAGTAAGTAATTCCATATTAGTTTGTTTATTAGGTATATCACACAGTGAAACAGTATTATTTACTGGAAATAATGCTGTTTCACTGTGTGATATACCTAATAAACAAACTAATATGGAAAAGTTACTGTTGTCTGAGTTAAATTAGGTCCCAGCAACTAGTTGAATTTGTCTTGCAAGTCTAATAATGTACTCGTCTTCGCACATTCGAATTAGTGTTAGTTTTAGGCAATTGTGATACCAAAAACTTCTACAGCAGGAAGTTCAAGTGGTGCCGTTTTATTGGCGGAAATGTTTTTACTTCTTCACTCATTTGATGTGTAAGCGAATCTTATCAGAATTCAAATCCATATGAAGTCATAAAACAGTTTGAAAAAGCTGTATTTTCTGTAATACACTGACTTAGTATACATATTATATATATATATATATCAAAATCAAATTTTATCTGTAATGGAGCTATACTCTACCACAGTGCCCAAGTTTTATACTTATATCAATAAAATTTAAGTGGTATAAATTATTCGACTGTTCTGAATACAACTGTAATGAGTTCAAGTCCGAATGAGCAAAATGGCTTTTGAGTATTCAGATAATCTAAATGCAGCAGGCAAGCACTACTAATTAATGTACTGTTCCTAACTACTCATACTAGCCAGTAGTATATGCCTCTCATTCTTTACTATTATTTAATTTTGTGAACATAAAAGTTACCTAGTTGTTTTCTAAGGTAAGGAAGCAATCTGAAGATGTGTTTATTATGGGAAGCAGTTTGAGATGGAAAATCGAAATATTCAGTATGAGTACATCGAAAAGTGTGACGAAAGTTCTACAGCGTAGTTTCTTTTATCCTCCGGTTATAAATTAAACAATATTCATGTCTTCGATTTGAAAATAATTCCATCCACCGCAAAGTATAACGTCGTCGTGATGTAATACTGAAATGTACATGGCGTTTTACACCTCACACAAAGCATAAGAATATCAACGACCTACTTGTCACACCTGTTGACACCTATCAAGAAGGCATATTTGGTAATCACGAAGTTACTTATGCTTTTGAAGTTTTGATCTGTTTCAATTATATATACTGAATAGTAGACAGTTATAGAAATTACAAATTATTTAAATTAATCTCAGCGTGTTAAGAAAATCAAAACAAGATTTTTCTGAACGTTTCGCTGTGTAAGCCACAGCTTCTTCAGCAGATTTATTTATAAGTAAATAATTTATAATGAATCAGTCTGACTCGGCGCTCAAATTACTCCAGGAAGTTCGTAACACCTACGGCCTGGAAACCTATAAAGTTATGGAAATTGTATTTGTAGAAATCTCTGCGATTCTGAGACAAACAAATCCAGTTTTCCTTCCAGTTAGCTGGTCAAGACATCTCTTCAGGGAAACAGTCAAGATTTAAAATAGCAAAGTCATATAAATGGGAAGTCACATCTTGTATTGCAATCCCTTGTCAAATAAAATTACAAACTAATTGTATAAATAATCTTTATCATTTTTAATTTTGATGATTTTCCTAAAGAATATGGGACTAGTTTACTCAACGAAACTTTGGAATTATATGTTTCTCAGCATAGCTGGCCTTTCTGCAGATACAGTTTTCATGTATGTCTACTTTCCACTAATAGATCAAATCTTGTTCAAAGTTCGTATTAACTAATTTAATAAATTAAAACAAGCGCCAAGTGTATTCTAGCAACATATCTTTCATTATAGTTTACTTACTGACTCAAATAATATGTCATATTATTTTGCAGAGGTGGATGTCCACACTTTCCCTTTTAAATAACATCCAACAGTTTTGAGGTGCCGATGAACATGATGCATTGGTTCAGATACATTACAATAATAATAATAACATTAACAATGGAATATGACTCAAATAAACAGCTAAACAATACACAAAATATTCTTTTATAAAATCAACTTACACATACCTTGGTCCTATTTCCCAGTATAATTGAAATGGGTTAATAATAACACTAATAATTATTTCAGAAACATTAGCTTAACAGTCATATTTTTCTAAGGTCAATACAACTAGTTAGCACTTTATTTCAAGGGTGTAGACAAGTGTTGAAGCAATTGGTTTAGATTTGTAACAGTTTGATATCACGTGAGTATACCTATTAGCCAATAAACTGAAGGATATGTACAGAAGTGTTACAGCAAGATAAAGTTCTTTAAAAAGTTGATTAAAACTTCTTTTAAGTTTGTATTACCTATAGTGCAATGAGTATTCGATGAAAGAAATACTAAGACAAGTACATCAACTAGAAAACTATTAAAGGCCACACTATTAGTACATAAACATTATGATGTTTAACTATCATAAGCTGAACAACGTAACTTTTAGATCCAACCATCTACACTATTAAGCTGACTTCTGCCTCAGCCCATATCTTCGTTATGAGACAACACTATCACTTCTTTACCATAGAATCAATCTTCCAAACCCAGATTAACCAAAGTAGTTTATTTAAATAATTTATAAGGTAATTCCATTTCCGTCCACAGGAAAATAAACAGTATCATATCGTTGATTTGGATACTCATAATCGACTAAATTGTATATGGGCATTTGAAAATTGAAGAGATATCTGAGACAGAACTGATGAATTCTAGAATTTCAGCTGTCTAGCTAAACTTTGCCTAAAGACAATTATGAATAATATAAGACAGAAATGTACTTACTTGTCA